GGTCTAAGTGGTAAAACACATACAAAACGGTCTTTTGGCAATCATAGGGAGTAAGATTTGATCTTGAATTATGAGAATCTGCCTATGGAATAGCCTTGCAATGATGATTTTCTATTCTCATATTTGGAAACGAGAAAAAGCTGAACCCATGTGGTGCCTTCTAATGTGGGAATATCTCTTCCATATTATTCCATGCACCCTCAAATTTAAATGTGATTTCTAAACTATTATATAATTACTTTATGTTATGGAATTAATTATCCTACTCATTAACTCGTTCTTATGGAAAAATAAATCTATCCATACAAGTTATTATTCAAAATGATTAATGGACTCAATAATCTATACCTACTCAAATAATCAAAGGTCTTGTCTATCTTTTACTTGGTTCAACACTGATCCCATATAAAGCAACTAAATTTGCTATTCGTTTACTATGTGTGTGCCTAATTATCATTAAAATCAAAGCTTTAATTGATGTCCCCGTTTGGTTATTTCATGATTGTTTTTGTTTCTTCTTTATATTTTATTTTTAGATAGTAAGTCATAGCATTGTTCATGTGATACTACCTATTAAAGAAAGTCCTATCTGTTAGTTTTACCGATATTTTCAGTATGAATTATGGGGTTGTTTGTTCTGTGCAATTCCGGTATTTTTCAGCGTTTGAAACCTGCAGAATTTTGTAATTCATATCATGTGATGCGATCAATTTTCATGCAATGCAAACTTGTTGATTTGGTTGTTTAAATTTAGTAACACTATCATTGCGTTGAATTTTATACAGCACATAGCCTAGCCCACGTTAATTACAACATCTATTTTGAGATCATTAAGTAGGCATCAAAATTTTTGGTGCAATTTTCTTTGTTTGGAATTTTAATTATTGATTAAGATTCCATTCTTAATAAATACTTATAAGAGATAAATAAATAAATCAATATTTTTTATGGATTAATGTCGACTTATTTTCTTTTACTTTTTTATAGTTCTTTGTATTTAATTTTTTTAAAAAAATGATTTTAATTCATGGAAAAAAATTATTCATATTTTTTCTTTATTTTTCCATGAAACACTTATATAAAAATTTACTTAAATTAGACTTAATTGAATTTTGGCCATCCACAGCTTAATTATGCAAACCAAATCGCTTTGGTCTTGTAAAAGGTGATAATATTGATTGAAATAGTAAGTGACATTTAAAGTGTCCCCGTCACCATCATTTCATTACCGCCCTAATCCCTAAACTCATCCATATCTAAAATTCTTCATCAATTAATGCATTGCAACAATGTGTCTTTCCCACAACTCAAACTTGAGTGACCATATAAAGCACACGAACAACTATATTAATTCAACAGAAAAAATTTAAATCCTTCTCGCATTTTTCAAATAACATAAAGGACATAACATATACGCTCTTTTTCTTTTGATTTATATTTTTAACTTATTTGGCATGAAAGTCAAAGAAACAGACAAGATGGGTTGTGCATTAGTGCAATATATACACACCCTTGTACTTAATGCAAAAAAATAAAAAAATAAAAAAAATCAAAATTTATACACCGGAATTAATGTCACTCAAGTGAAGAACAACTACATAGTTTGAATTGAAGTGTCATTAAAGTAAAATGGAACTAGCTAAGTGGTATCTAGTACCAATTAATCTTAACATGCACGCCAACATTGCTGCTATGTATAAAAGTGTCAAGTCCAACACACAAATCCTATGAATCCCAGTTTTGCGAATCTTAAGTGAAGAATTGGAGAGTGTTTGGGACATAAAACCCAAACCGCGTGAGGAACCAAAGGGGTGCAAAGATTTTTCATGTAAAAGGTGGTCAAGACTCAAGAGTAGCAGTAGTAAGAATGGAAAATGTTTGTTTTACCATGAGTAGAAGATATCTCTACGTGTCTCTTATATATTTAAAGTATATATTTTTAAAATATGCATATAAAATAAATGAATATTAACATATATATAATATAAATCTTGAATGAAAAATAATGTTCAATGCAACAGTGAGTCACAAGATAGAGAGGTAAAGGAAGAGGTAGGGGTGCTTCTTCTTGGTATGTGTAGGTCCCATAGAGAGGGGGTGGTCCCCTGGGAGGGCAGGTGGAGGCGGCTGAGGAGAGAGAATTGGCACGTGCGAGGATTGGTGGGGGGAGAGAGGGCTTTGCTGGGATTGAGCAAACATGGTGGATTCTTGGGTTGCTGGAAAGCAGATTGTGCCCTTCATTTGCATGGAAAATCATTGGCATTTGGGATCCCTCTCTTGGGGTTGTAGGGTAGGGCCTTAATTTGCTAGGATTGGCTTTTCTAGAAGGGGACCATTTCACAACTATTATTAACCTTCCCATCATCTACTACACTTTCCTTTGCCTATGTGTGTGTTTAGATCAAATAAAAGAAAGTTAAATATAAGCATTCTACTATTTTACTTTTGGAATGGGAAGATTGTTTTGGGGATATTTGTTCGTTTAAATATGTTATTGAGATAAATGAAAAATTAGATCAAATTGACTTAGGCCTTCTATCTAAATAGTTGAAGAAATAGATATATATTAAATTATTTTTTATTTTATTACAATTTTATTATAAATAAATAAATAATTAATTAATTAATATTCTTGTTAATTTAGTGACCAATTCAATTTGATTATTCATTCGATTTAATTTGGATCTCATTCGAGTTGTGCATCTGAATATGATAGGTGAGTTTATTACAAATTATTTTTTATATATACAAAAACTCAAATTCAAAATTTTGCTTAACCGATATTAAGCTGCTTGTTATTTAGACTAATTTCTGTTGATATTAATTTAATTTTTAAAAAATTAATTATTAATCATTTATAATTTTAATGGAAGATTTCAAACTTTCACGATGTAACTGCAATGTGTGTAGGGACATGTATTACTTAGGGGGTTATGGCCCCTTCTCAAACAAAAAAATAATAGTTTTCTTTAATATATATGTAATTTTAATTTTAAATTTTTTTTTTTATAAGAAGTATTATTTTTTCAACCTAACCATTCTATTGATGATGCTCTTCTTTATAGCCAATCCAATTAAAATAATTTGGTTCTTTGAAAAAAAAAATTTCATTTTACATGAAATTTTTGAGGAACTAAAATATTTCATCAACACTGCTTTTTTCTACCACTACAATTAAAATAAGCTAACTCAGCGCATGTGTGTGTGGTTGTAATTCTCTTTTAAGTATTATAGTTGAAAAAGGTAGCATCTGTTTGGAGTTTATTTAAACAAATGAATAAGGATGAAACCGAAAACCGAGTGCCCCACGAAGAGGTGTTATCAGTGTGCCCTAAACATATAAACAAAGCTTAAATTTCATAAATATAGAGGAATCCACCATCTGAAATGATGCATTCCTTTGTTGTTTTATAGCAATAAAAAGGGGTGGTTTAATGAGGGAGAGAGAGTGAAGTGGGGGAGGGTAAGCAACTAATACAAATTGTTTGTTTGTAGAGATTGCCATAAAGGAATGGGACAATTAGAGTAACTGTTGGTTCTGGCTTTATGCAACTTGTGAAGGACCAAACCATTTTAGTACAAAATAGCAAAAGATCCCTTCATTACAACTCCTATTCCCCTTTCCCTCACATATACATACCAATAAGACAATCACAAGGAAGGACCACCCACACAGATCATTATTTAGATCTCAATCTGAACTGAGATTTGCTCTGCTTTCACCCTCCCATTTTACTGTTCTGCCCTCACCTACCATTATGAACAGACACTTTTCTCCCTCACACTCCACATAAGGATACATATATATTGTACATGTATCACACAAGATTTTGATGAAAGGAACAGGATCATAGAACAGCAAATGTGCTGCCTTAGCTAGTTTTGTCTGAACCATCCAGGGATCACAGGATCAAAGAATTGGGTATGTGGTATATTTGCTTGAGAGAGCATTCATTAAAGAACAGAAAGGTCGTGTTTTTGGATGCATGAAGAGGTCACTATCACCTGGTAGTTGTGTTGGTCCTGCCAAAACAAAAACAATTACAAAACAAAAAGCCCAGACATAAAAGCAATATGTGTCTGCCACATGTCTCAGACTCCCAGTAAATAAAACCCAGACCCACAGATCTCTCAGCTGTCCTATACCTGCAACCCACCACAGTTTTAACAGATCATATACGTATTTATCTACGTATATTTACATTGTAAAGACCCATCATACAACCACCTATTCATCAACCCTAGTTTGGGTTTTCATTAAATTATTGACTTGTCCAAACCTTAGTTTAATGTATGGGATGGTACGTATACAAATGCTGTTGTTAGTTCGTATAATCACTAAGGTAAAACATGAGTATCAACCTATTGAATTAAGGGATGCCATATCAGGCATCGCAGGGCCACACCCAACATTAGCGAGATGCAGTGCAGTGGACCCCGTGGGCTGTGAATGAACAAGTTAAGCGTCAGCTGTACTAGCAATTTTGGGGAAGCAAATTCAAGGGCTTCTAAAAGTGACATAAAAAGGATCTTCTCATGCTGGGACACTTCAAATTTGGATTTAGTTTAAGATATTTTAGTCTTCAAATTTAATGTTATTTTCGCTGAGATTGGTTGTTAAGATTGTGTTTCGCGTCTTCATACTTCTTGAGGTATGAGGCACGGACGTTGCACCCCACCCGACCGTCTCGGAGATGATATACCCTTCAATCCTTGGCCCAGTAGTCAAGCTATTAAATAAAATAGTTCCTTCGTTCATTAATTTTCCATTTGAAAACGATGGTTTGATCGACCAAAATAAAAAGAAAACGATGATTTGGGAAAATTTTGAGGATTTCCCCCATAAAAAGAATTTGCAAGTTCGAGAGTAGTTACATACAAAGATTGCAGCAGTAATAGCAATTCTGTTAGTATTCGTCCCAGAATTGATTTCAAAGAAATCGGAAAATAGTCGATGCCGTTGGACGTGTATTGGAGTGGATGGAGAAGAGATCCTACTTAAGTTTAAAATCAATTATTGAGGGAGCAATCGTTAAACCAAACAGGCAATAATACAGACAGTTAAGAGTCTAGCCCTATTTAGGGTAAAATCGATTTTAACTCAAAAGGCCCGTTTGTAGCTCTTACAATTCAATTTTATGGTTTTAATTTTTTCAGTATCAACTGATTAGTAATGCTAGAGACCTAGAGGTTAAAAAAATAAATAAATACATCATATTACACATATATACAATATCATTTAGACAACTAATGTAATGGAACAAAATTTAATGCGCTCAATGACTGATTGACAATCTAAAAACTGCTTAGATATCAACTGCAGCATCAGCAAATGCTACACTTTCAGGGAGAATAAATGATGCGCACAACATCCATTTTCCAGGTGCCACCAGTCGTACCCGTCTCATGTCTACGTTGACAGCCACTTCTAACAGCGCAATTCTTATTCTCTGCATCATAAGAGCTTTATTAAAATGCTTTCTTTACTGCAAGGTTTACATGATACTAGCCAAACAGCATGGTTAAATTTCAAGTGATTTGTGCAGAGTCTAATAAAGACCACAGAAATATATACACACAATATCAGCAACCAACCGCATGAAATTCAAATTCTGGATCTGGCGCTTTGGAGAATCCATAAACACGGATCATTGGAAAATTAAATTCCCCAGACTTGGGTCTATCTTTGTATATTCCCCGAAATGCATCTGCAGAAGAAGCAAAGCATCCAGAAATAATATCAAGATATTAGAGAAGTTTACCCCTACAGAAACCAACTACCAATAAAATAAAATGAAAAGAAAACGTAGCAGCCCAACTATAGACACACACAACTCTCTTGATCATTGCATGCATTCATTCCATAATAAACATGATTACGACCGTAACCACTAATATTTTAAGACGTGCTCCACCAATACATACACAAACAGCACAACATTGACCAAACTATAAATTAAGCAAAGATAGAATAAGATTAACATTCGGCCGTAAAAAGAGGAACTATGATTAATTTGGATTATCGGTACAAGTGTTCATGCTTTTATTATCACCTCCATTAGGTAGGTTTTAACACGAGCTCACTACTTCTTAAGTGTATTAAAATTGAAAGCATCACATACTGCTTCACGATCATTTAAACAAGTCTTTAACATACTGAGACCTATCATATTTTCTGACTTCCTGTCATTCCTTTCCAAATCTAGGCATGAAGGAATGTCTTTATGTATGATGCATGTGGCAAAGATGAATCGTAGGGCTAACACAACCCTCACGCTACTCAGAATTATTTGAAACATAGTCCCAGCAGCAACAGAAAAACGGTTTGCCCTTATTCACCCACAACACTAATCCATGATTATGGAAAAATTATGAAAGTTTAACAATATTTAATTATAAAAGGCAGAATGAGATAAGATCAAATTAGACATGTGGATGTAAAACAATATTTTACAAATATAGAAAAAGTGATCCTGTCAGAAAAGGCAACCTAGAAATTCTGCAGCTTCACTTGGCAAGTTCATAACCACTTGTGTGATTGACTGAGCTTTATCACTGGCAAACATAGCCTTAATGAACCTTCTTCCATCCATGTTAAAGACCTAGAACAACAAACAATGACCTTAGTTGGCTGAAAATTCCATCAACAAAATCACTGCTGCCATATGCAGATTCAAATGCAACTTCTGCTTTGGTACTTCTTGAGAAAAACATTAAAACGAGTATTGCATATCCTTTTAACCATTAGTTACCCACATCCTATGAGGCAAGGACACTTCAAGAAAGGAGATGTGTCAGAAGACACATATATTGGACAATTGTGTCAAATACAAAGCAAATTTTCAAGTTTTAGTGTTTCTTTGTTGTTTTTCATGGCAATGTTTCTTAGCTCCGTACTAAAGATTAACCACAGTAGTTATATGCTAAAAATATCTAAAGAAGTTCAAAAAAGTTGTGGAAATAAATTAATTTACAGCACTTTTAATATTAACCAAGAAATTGCATAAATCCAATAGTGGTCCCATTCACAACATCCTTTTTTCCTTTATATATTTTCATCAGTAGAAGTTGATAGAACATCTTTAAGAAGATATTCACTCAACAAGCAATCATACCTTAATCTTCCTCTCAAGCTTGTTTAGAACACTATTTCTTTCCAGATATTCAATTGCATAGGGATTTAAATCATTAGCATAAACACGCTTAACTATCCTTGCTGCAGATATGGCTAAGGGACCAACTCCAGCAAAAACATCACCTGTCAATAATGACACATGTAAGCAAGTAATGAATAACATAAAAAACAACATTCTTTAACTTCAGCAACTAAAGATAAAATACATGTATCAATCAGGACATTTTTGCACAGCCTGTTTTATGGAAATCCATTAATTCTTGCTTTCATTCCAACTACCTGCATCACGAGAATATCAATTTAGTTGTTCTTTTTTTCCATATTTTTTTCTATTGGGAGAGGGGAGGGTGTGTTCATTATTTAATCCCTTATAGCATAATTTCTAAAAGTAGTTAGTGTAGACTTGGCATTCATCCTATAAATCAAGAAAACAATGAGGGAAAATAATCTATAGACCAGACAAGCCTAGTGATTTTTCTTCCCCCTAGTCAACCTTGTATGCAAAACTAGCTAAGGGATTTCCAAGAAACATCCAACAGATGATATGCACATGCATGAAAATGTTGGGAATGATATGAAAAGGATTTCATCATTGATTATGTACTTAATGTCCAGATTCTGTATGTAGGCATTTTATGTTCATATGCAAAATAACAAGATAGTTTAAATACATTTCTATCCCCATTTTAAGTGAAGTCATGTAAATGAAATTCTGCTAGTATATGAATTCATTTCTTCAGACTTCAAAACATTCATAAAATCCAATAAGTATATGCATTAGATAATATATAATTATGCTCAGAAGGAAATTATAAATTTCTGTAAATATCATACAAACAAATAAACTAATCTCTTATGAACTAATCCAAGAAGCAGACAGGCAAGTAGGCAACATATTATCTGGTTATCCTTTGGTTTCCTAAAAATGGGACCTGTTACAACATCAATGCACTGTTTGATATGCTTACATCAATGCACCAATGTGTAAAATGACACAAAAAGCATTTTCTGAACAAAGCCCAAAGTTGTGAAACAAGTTAAAACCTGTTTCAGATAAGATTCCAAGCACTTTACATTAATTTGTTCACATTTATTTTTATACTGTATATCAAATCCGCAGCAAGTAGTATTGTCTATTTGTGCCAACACTAAGCATTTTTTCTTGGTTCAGCCACAAAGTAATTGTTGTTTCTACATTACATTGAACCCCCCCATCCACACACAATAACATATGTAGGCTTCTTTTATCATCTAAATAGGAAGGTAGACACGTACAAACAACATCATTCCGTGTAAAACCACTCAGAAGCCTTTGTCTTTCAGTTCCAAGCCTAGAACTCCAATATCTGCACAGAAAGAAAAGAAACAGAAGTGATAATGCATACTTTTGCATTTATTCTTTAACTAATATGCTCTCTACAGAATCCAGAGTATATGATAGAAATTAATACTACAAGTCTATAAATTTAGGTATTTGATATTTGATTATAAAGAATGGTGAAGAAATTAATAAAAATGTTACTTATAGAATAGTTGATGGTAAAAATGAAGAAAGACATAGGATGTTATTTGTAATCATAAAATACTTATCAAGATGAAAGAAAAATTGTATTGCACTGCTATACGACCAGACATCATCAATAGTAGCAAAATGTTGAGTTTTAAACTATGAAGCTTATATACTTAGTATGACACGGATACCATATGATACGGATTCGGAGATACGTAAAAAATTTGAAATTCAAAATACAATACGGCTTAGATATGTTAATAGGAATTTAAAGAAATAACATACTTTATACATATACAAATATTTATAAAGAAATATTGATAATTCATTTATATTAATGTGTTATATTTGGATATCAATTATCACATCTTACAAAAAAAACACATGAGATCATATTTTTCCTTTATCTAAGTAACTAAGTCAAAATATTTTTTCTACTATAAACACATAAAAAAATTATATACTTTATTCCCTATTGAAATTAGTATTCCACAAAAGAATTAATAGTTTTATCCAAAAGAAATATAGAACTATCACAAAAAGAAGGTCCTGCCTTTATACTATTTAATTCTATCTAAACTGTATCGAATGATTATGAGCCATATTCCAATCGTATCTAAGCCGTATTAGGTTAGAAATTAATTTTTAAAAATAAATTAAACTATAAATATTTTTGAGATAAGTATCTAGATGTATCGGACACGTATTGGAATCAGATACGTGTCCGACACATATACGTTTGTTGTTTTAAAGTATTTGGGCTTCATAGGTATTAAATGAACAACAACCAAGCATAATCCCACTAAATAATGTTGACTATATGGATCACACAATGCTATTAAACTCAATCAAAATCAAATTTTAAAAAATATTATTTATCAATATATCTCTTTTAATTTTAAATGACATAAAAATCTATATGCAAAAATATTAGAATAGTACCTATAATAGAAAAAATGACAAAAGAACTATAGAAGGAAACCTAGAAGAACTTTAAAAAAATTATTAAAAGTGATATATAAGTTTACTTGGATTAAACTTTTAAATAAGTTCTTATATTAGAAGAAAATCAATAAAAAAATGAATAAAACTCATCGTACGTTAAAAATAACTTGTACTCCTTAAATTTTAAAAAAGTTAAATAAAAGAACATTTAAAATAATAAAAAAACCTAAGTTGATTTTGACTTATGAGAATTTTTATTTTATTTTTTTATATTTTACTACTTAATTTTTAACTTTATAAATACTTATTCAGAAGTTTATTCAAATCAGGCCACAGTAATAAATAATATTTCACAAAATTTGATTTTTGTTTTGATCTCAATGGCATCATGCAATTTATGTAGCTAACTTCATCTAGTAATATAAGATTTTGGTGGTGGTGTTGTATAGGTCCAGAGTATATTTTGAAAATTTAAAAAAACATGTATTGAATTTATTTTTCATTTTAGATTCCAAATTCATTGAACGAAGTTTCATAAGAAAATATAGATCATAATCAATACATGTTTAGAACAACCAGTAATTGATTCAGATGCAACAGTGTAGGGTCCAAGAAGTTGAAGCTACCTATCCAACTTGAATTGAAATGTACTAAATCAATCAAACCAGACAATGTCTTATAATCATAAATTAAAATGAATAAAATTCTTGTATACTGATAGAATCTACATCTACAACTATTAAAGCATTATTTTTCCCTTTCTTTTCTGTTTCTACTCCATTCCTCTGAAAACTCAGAACCTGTTTCTGGGTTCCTAACATATACACACTTTTTCCTCACAGTCCTTTTCCTACAAGGCAGAGGTATGGTCCAAGAGGCTAACCTATACAACATGGCAGGACCTCCTACTGTTTATTATTTGAGATGAATGACACAGAAATTAAAAGAGGAATACATAGGATTTTTGGAGGTCACAACAGAGGCTCTCCATGTATCTCTAAATTGATACATGTAACAACAGAGTTTATGGATTGTTATTGATAACTGCCATTATTTATATATAAATTCTCAGCTGAAGCTAATGATTCTACTAATTATGAGTTGGAGGGTGAAAAAAACAATATAGTACTCCCAAAGGCTATAATGCATATGCTATTAGAGATAGAACTAGAAAACATTTCTGGCATAATAAGTGAACAAAGTTGTCTGGGTTTATTAATGATGTTAAGGAAGAGATGAAGAAAGCATGGGCAGTAAGAAGGATGTGTGACTTTTGATACATATACTGGCATATAACATGACACAAATGAGCCTAAATGTTAGAAAGTAACATTGTTACAAAGGAATATTTTTCTTATAAAACATAACAGAATGTATCAATACACATAACTATATTAACAAACTAAACTGCATGTGGGGATGAGTAGAGAGCCACAAACTAAAAGAAGGTAGTCCATCAATATATATAGGAATAGGATCACCCGAGACCCACACCTGCCTAATAAAATATCATATAAAACCTTTTCATATTAAGTCCAAATCAACATATCTTAATGGATTATAGACTACATGTAGATATTAGATCTGTTAAGGGTATACTTGCTACAATGACATTATACATTTATACAAACAGAAATACAAATAAGAAGATCCAAATAAGGAGTGTGTAGACTATGTTAAATATAAGGGTAAATTACTCTTTACTTCCACGTAGTTTCACGCTTTCTCAATTTACCACTTATAATTTTTTATGTTACTAAACCCCCTTATACAGTCGTACTTTTTTTTTTCTGTCACTTAAGTACAGGGGGGTTAATTGAAAAGGAATGAAACTACAAGGGGTAAAGTGTAATTTACCCATAAATACATTTCATAAAAAGACATCAATTGAGCAATTAATAAAGCAAGCCTTCTACATTGGTCAGTGATGGAAATAAGAGCATACACTGTTGCTAAGTCAACCTGAAAGCGAATTCCATTCTCAACTAGTGTAGTCACAAGAGAGTGGTTTCCTGCTAAAACCTCAAGCTGCATGGTCCTGTACTCATTTTGAATGGTATCAACCTTGTTCACAACTGTTTGTATCCTTGGCTTATTTTTATCCAGCACAACCTGAATATGAAAGTAGTCTTTCATAGATTAACATATATAAGAATTTGCAATACAATTTTACACTATTTAAAATGGTAACCAGAAATAATTCTAGAATAAGAACCTTAGCTATAAGCCTCTTGTATGGTAAATGTTCGTCTCTCAAATTCAGGTGTGCAATGTGACCAACAGTCTCAAAAGCTGAAGGAACAATCATACCCTCAGGCAGCAAGGCCTCCAAGATCTGCAACACGCATATAGGACTGGTTTTGAAACCAAATAAAGAACACCAGGGGAGGGGGAACTAATCACAAAAATTGTTTCTAGGTTGCATACATGAATACAAATTTATATTTTAAAAAATAATTGTAGATATAAATCTGAAGTTAAAAAAATTGTAGTAGTGTTAAAATTGAAACAAGGAATGAAACATAAATACTAAATTATTTTGATTTGAAGCACATGTCCAAGTCAAGTTAATCATGAAGGTGAAAAGTACATTTTATTGTGATAGACCAACACAGAAAGAAAGAGAAAAATATTTACAAATGACAAACTTAAAAATGGATATACATACACCCAAACACAAATAATGTCTATAACAAGGTGACCTTGGTAATACCTCAGTCATCTGCCAGTAATCATAGAACAGTGTCAACTTGCATCTAACTAGCTCAAAAATCAAAGTTGTACTCTTTTCTGCATATTCCTTTAAGACAGCCTGAAGATCACATTAAAATATGAATCATGTCACACATTAGATGAAATGTTAGACGTCAAAAACACACAGACAGAACAAATTTTCATAACAAGAAGAAAACCAAGAATATAAGAGATGGAACATCAAAGAACAGGAAGATATCCAGCATCAGGTTAATACTCAATAGTATGTAATGAAAATTCTAAACTGAAGATAATTTGATAACTGTTCAGTAGTTCACATTTGAAGTACCAATATATAATTCTTAGCATCACCATGTATTTTTCATATTTGTGGATTAAATACCTCGTTTACTACTAAAGGACATCAAAATGGACAATCACATAACCAAAAAGATCCCCATGCACTACAGCTAAAGAACCACCATCATTTCAGGGACAACACAGAAACAATTATATGCACTGTTAAAAGTCGCCGTTAATATAACCAGGTGTCAAAGACTTCCAATAGTCTATAGACAAATTTATCTATTCTCAGGAAAAAAGTGTCACCTAAAAATTTCGACAAGGTCCCAACATGTTAAACAAAAGATTATTCCTTGATCATGTATAATTTCATTCGCATCATCATTTGACAGTTTGGAATCTTCACAGTTCTCTCATAAAAAGGCCAATATCAGTATGCTAAATGAAGCTGCAATATAGCTAAACGCCTAGAGCTCAAATTAGGCAACTTTTAAACCTAAAAACAAGTGCCTTCACAAAATCAATGCCAGAGCATTTACAAGGAACATCGCTCAAGAAACAAGCCTATCAACTACCACTCCTATGATTTAAATATGCTTCATCATCTACTTCCTTTCATTAAAAGTAAACCTAAAAGCCATAAAAATCTAAATGAAAAGTAGAAAAAACGCAGAAAAAAATAATTTACACAGCAAATACTTTGCCACTGAAAAACTCACAGAACAAAAGAGAGTGAGTGTAAAAAGGCACCTTTATCGCCTCGGGCAACTCCTCCACACCACGACCCGCGTAGCGTTCATCGAGAAGTAACAACCTCGTGGAACCCCTCCACTTGTTCCTCACGAACTCTTCTCCAAGCAAATTCCTCAATCCACCTCCTTCATCCTCTTCTTCCTCCTCCTCAACAACCTCAATTGAAGCAAATCCACTTTTCCCAACGCGCTTAACATTTTCATTTCCTTTCTCCTTCTTCTTCTTATTTCTGTTCGGCCTCGAAATCTTCGCGAGGTTCCTGAACTTGACGAACCCGCGAGAGTTGAAAGTCTTCGCGAGCCTATCGCGGTAGAGCACGGGGCTCAACACGTCGCCGTCACCCTCCGCTTTGCCGTGAATCCGGCGTTGCAACGAAACGAGACCTCTTTCTTCTTCCTCTTGGCCGTCCCCGTTAATCGCTTGCCCTAATAATGGAGCAACGTTAGGGTCAACGTCATCACCGGGAACGCGAGCGATGTTGCGAATGCGAGGCCAGTTAAGGAGGTGGCCGCGGAGGCGGTTCTCGAGGGCGGAGCAATGGGTGGAGGGAACACGAAGCGCGGCGAGATCGAAGATTCTGGTGAAAGCTTCTTCTTGGAGAACGGTGTCGTTTTGGTTAAGGGGAAAGTGGGAATGGGATAGGGAAGGTTTGGTTCCTTTGTGAAGGCAAGGTCCGTACGAGAGAGTGATGGTTGAGAAAGTTGCAGTATGGAGGGAAAGAGAAGGTTTGTTAGTATAAGGGAAAGGGAATTTTGATGGAAAGGTAACGAGGTGGGGTTTTAGGAATAGGTTGCTCACCATCGTCCTCAGGGTGACGAGTGTGTTCCTCTACCAACTACAACTCAAGTCAGCCACCATGATAATACTCAAGTTTAAACGGGAATTTTTTTTTTTCAAAATAAAATTTCACAAATATGAGAATGAGAAATAAAATATATGTTATCAAAATATCTATCACTTCTGTTAAGCGAAAAATAAATAATATTTTTTAAAAATAATTAATTTGTTTCATAAAAAATAAAATAAAAAATTTTGAGTCTCCTTTCATACTAAGTGGTATACGTTAAATAGATAAAAAAAATTATTTTCTTTATAAACTCTATCTACTAGTGATCACATAAGAATTTATTAAATGGTAGTGTAATTTTAGTGACAAATAAAGAAGTTGCTTTAGAGAATGTACATTGTCATTTTTCACTTTCCACATAGAAACACAAACATTTGTTTGCGTTAACTTGATAATGATTTTTTATCAAAAGTAATTGTTAATGCCTCATTTTCTCTATTCTCCTTAGTTTCTCATGAGATTTTTCCTATATTTAGGAATGAAACTATGTGTGGAAAGCACTTTCATCATTGATTTTGTGTTTGAGTCTTTATTTTGAGGTAAGGGAAGACTCTACCCTATCTCATTGTGCTTAGAATCCGTTGGTTTTACTATGAGTTGGAATGTGATTGATATAAAACATAGAAAGATGTGTGTTTGGACGAAAATGATTTGATTGTAGTGAGATTGTGATGGAAACCTTGTGTGGGATATAATGTGATTGATATTAAGAAATGTGTGTAATGAGTAATGGATGTTGTGTACAATGAAAAGACTTTATTTTCAATGAGGTCGTAATAGAAATTGTGTGTTTTGAGCTTAACATGGTTGAATATGTGTAGATGTGCCATGTGTGAGAATGAATACTATAAATGATTGAGAATACGGTGAAAGTGTGTGAAAAATGGTATAATGATTGTGTTTGAAATGGTTGAAAACTATGAATGGTTACAGCGATACACTGAAGGTGTGGAAGATGGAAGCGGTAGAAATACCTTGGGGAAGAGAATGTAGTAGTGACACCAACAGTAAGAGTGGGTGTATCACAGGCTCTCCTCTTGACTCGATCTCTGATTAACACCTTTGCTAAAGGACCCATAACTGCACACGTTGTATTCATGAGGCGGGGGCTAACCAGCAACTATCTATTGTGTGAAACTGAGTCATTTTCTGAGGTTGAAGGCATCAGAAAATTGTGACCACAGTGCGATGTGAGCGTGACTAAGGTGCAGTGAGCGTACCTGTGTGTGAAATTGGAATGAAATGTTTCGAAAGTATGAGTTGGCACTTGTTTGATGTATGATTCAATTTATGTTTGAATTTGGGTGAGATATATGCTTGTGTGTGTATATGTATGTGATAGTGTAAAGTATTCACCCTTACATTTATTTTCAGGTGAGCAAGAAGATCAACACCAAACTAAGTGAACAGAGAGATGGAACTGCTATAGGAATTAAAAAACTATTTTTTTAAAAATTGTGATGTATTTAAATAGATCCTGTAGCATTTGTTTTGTCTTAAACTTGTAACCCTCCTTATTTTGGAAATACTTTATTGAAATTATATATTAGGAACCATTGCAATGAAAATTGTATTACTCCCCTTTATTACAAAATTAATTTATTTAGAAGATATTTGGAAAGTAAATTAAGGTGTTACAATACTAAGAGCACCTAACACAAGTGAACTTGTCAAGAGATCTTACTAAGAAGTTAAAGGCTAGAGTCAATCTTAAGTTGTATATTCTTAGCTCAATTGTTAGACAATGCCAGTAAGTTAATTCAAAATGAGAAGACTAATAGAAATAAAACACTCCATTTTCAACCTTCCAATTCATGCATGAAGTAAGCTCCTTTGCTTATGAAAAAAGCCTAAACAAGTCACAAATCAAGTAGTTTATTCTAAAGCCTCAATGAGTCGTGTCAACTCTTCTGGTACGAAGATTGATGGTACTATTCATGTGATGCCTCTTTTCAAAAGAACACTTACAAATAATTCTTGTATGTCTCATAATTCAAGCTAACAAGTTGTTTCTTACACATATTATATACATTTTACTTTCTCTTTGCTTATTTTTTTCATAGACTTTGCAAATTAAAAATTTATTACTTGAAATGTTCATGTTGTTATGAATGTTAGAGGTAGGCTATGCTAAGAATTTCGTTTTTACCTACATACCTCTAGTAATGTGCTTACTTGAAACTCACTATTAATTCAAGTTTGAAATTTGTTTTTGGCTTTAAATTCGGTATGAAAGTTGTTATATTTATTAAGTTAATGGCTATAAAGGTGATATTTGGATTCTTCAATCCAGTCATAGCAATCTAAGTTTGGTGCTAGTTGACTCTACCCATTAAGTTGTTATCTTTTTAGTTACTAAGGACAACATCAAGTGAACGTGTACTATTTTTAGTCCTTCTCCTGGGAAATGAGCTCATATTTGGTAGTATTTTACTTATCTTTGACAGCAAATTCATAGCCTTAGTTGTTTATAGGTGATTCTAATGAAATCTTGCTTCCTTTGGCAATTTGGGGTGGTCATTTTTATCATTTTAGGTTTTCAAACTGGCTTACTTGGGTTAGATCTACATTTGGCTCCCCTACTATTATGAAGTGCTTGGATGAGATATTGGTGGATAACATGTGGAGGTTAACTTTTCCTAACGCTTATGTAAATAATCTTTATTGAGTCAAATCTGATCATTCTCCTTCTTACTTTGTTTCTTTTATGTGGAAGACGAGCATAATCGAAGACCTTGGTGTTTCATGGAAAGTTAGTCTCGACAAAAAGACTTTGAAGGAATTATCAATTCTACTTGGTATAGGAAAGAGCATGAGATGGTTGATAACCTTATTCAAGTTCGTCATAAATGTTAATTGTTCAAAAAAAATATTTTTAAGAGGAACAATGTGTCAAAGACAAACTTAAAGTTTTTCAATTATAACTTGAGAACTATCGTAACTCTAGCATTCTAAAATTTGAACCTAACCTCCAAAGAGAATCTATTGAGATAATGAAACAAGAGAAATTACTTTGGTTTCAAAAGCTTAGGGAGCATTGGATAAACTTTGGTGATTGTAATACCAAATTTTTACACTTAAACCATTGTTCGCAGACATAGAAATAAGATTATTAGTTTGACCTTATATGATGGTTTTCAACCTTAAGACATAGGTTCTAAATTATTTCAAGACAATTTTTTGTTCCTTTGTTATTGACTTTGGCTTTAAAATTCCTCTTTAGCATAATCTTACATTAAATCATGATGCTTTTCAAGCTTTCATAGCTCTTGTTTCTAAATAGGAAGTCAATTTCATAATGATGTCCATAAAACATTTTATAGCCCTTAGACTGGTAGGTATCAACATTTTTTCTTTAAAAAATATTGGCATATCATTGGGGATGATGTTTGGAAGCTAGTTAGCAATGTCTTCTCTAATGGGTTTTTTGATAATTGTATCACTAAAATTCACATTGTTCTCATTCTTAAGGTTGATCATTCCATAATGGATCAAAGATTTTTGTCCTATTAGCCTTTATAATATTATCACATGCATAAATTCAAAGCTATAAAGGGGTACTTGGCTTTTAAAATTGATCTCCAAAAGGCATACAATAATATTAGTTGGACTTTCTTACATATGGTTCTTAAAGATTTTGGTTTTCCAAATAATATTAGTTCCTTCATTATGTGGTGTTGAGGACAAAGGGCGAGCAACAATTCAAAACCTGATTGAAATCAATATATCCATATGCAAATAAAAGGAAGAGAAATAGATCAGTTCATACATCGGGTTTTTTAATATAAAATTTTAATGTAAAATAGGCTTAAATAGTAAAAATTAGGTAATATAATATTTTTAAATCGATAACCAACTTGATTGACTCAAATGTAAGATTTTCACTTTGTCATGGTCATATTACAAAGACCTTTTTCAATCATATTATTAAAAGAGTTCATATTAAGCTCTTTTCTTAGAAGGTAAGGTTACTAAATAAGGTTAGGCACACAGGTCTGCTAACATTTGTTATTAACTCTCTCCCAATTTATTCTATGTAAGTCTATTGATTACTTAGAAGCATTTATTATGAGATACATAAACTCTTTCTAGCTTTATTTGAGATCTTCATGCTCGTCAACAAGGATGACACCAAGTCTCTTAGAGTACTCTTACGTTGGATAAAAAAGTTGGGACATTAGGCATTAGGAAGAGCACTTTAACAACATTGCTCTTCTCGACAAGCTTATTTGGGATTTGGTTAATGCTAAGAATAAGTTGTGGTGTCACGTTATGTCTCATAAATATCTTAAAAACTGCTTAATTCTTAATATCATCGTAAATAATAGCTTATTGTATCTAGAAAATGATAGTTAAGACTAAGAATGTCCTTAAGAACATTTATTCTTTTTGACTTAGTGAGGTTGCAAGATCAATTTGGTACAAAGATTGACTCGATTGTGGTGCTCTGTATTATCGATTGGATTATGGTCATGATTCAAATACTAACCTTTGCATTAAGGAACTTATTCCTAAAGGAGTCTATAATTTATATATTTTGAGCACACCTTTATCCCATCTTGTCAAGGATTGCGTTATTTAATCCTCAAGCATGTTACACCCTTTCTTTATGGATTGCTTGTGTTAGATCTTTGGGAAGAAAGGTCATTATATATTAGCTTCACGATACACTTAGTGTAACACTTTAGATTTTGTAATAATATTTTGATATAATAATATAGGTGTATATATGGATTTTTATATGTTTATATGTTTGATTTATGTATATAATGATGTGTATATGTGTGTAATGACATGGACATGTATGAATCTGTGAATATGATTGTGAAATGTCCAAATAGTGTGGTTAAAATGAAATGTGGATTGTGACTAGACTAAAATTGATTGAATATATATATATATATATATATATATATATATATATATATATATATAGGCTAAGTGTGAGTCTGCTGCAGGGCATTCTCACTGTGAAGAGCATGAAGCTGTGTTGTTCTCGCTATGGCGAAAGGACTCTCGCTATAGCGAGAAGACGACAGTG